TGCGTGTCTTCTGTGGTACCTGCGTGTCTTCTGTGGTACCTGCGTGTAACGATATCTCACGCAGCCCTTTAAATAAAATGATCAACATGTTTGTGCTGGTGGAATTCTTGTCTTCATTTTGTTTGTTTGTTTGTTTGTAGGTGGAGAAGGAGCTGAAGACGATCTGTGGTGATATTCTGGATGCACTGGACAGACACCTACTGCCCTCTGCTGTCATGGGAGAGTCTAAGGTCTTCTACAACAAAATGTAAGAGCTCTGTGGTCTGACTGTAACGCAGTAGTGGAGTAAATAAGCACACGATGAGTATGTAGTATGTAGTATGAGTATTGAGAGGTAAAGTCCAGACAGCAAAGGTCAGGGAATTAGACAAAGTATCTAAAGGAAACTATGGAAATATCGAGGAGGTTCACAAATTTTTAGAAATATCTTACAGTGAAACAAACCATAGACTCTCTGGTAGTGACCTGTCAATCACTGTGTAGCCCCGCCCTAAAGCATACCATATTGTATTGAAGAAGACTTGAAACTAGAGATTGAGACCATAAACTCATGTTTACAATGTTTACTGAGGTAATAAATCAAGAGAGAAGTAGTCATTTTCTCATAGACTTCTATACCACCAGAGGAGTCTCCCCCTGGTGGACACGAGAGAGAATGCAGCTTTAAGACACTTCCTCATCAACTTCACTCGGCAGAACCGGAGGTTGCGTAAAAATATTTTTTCTCCTCTAATTCCAGGAAGGGAGACTACCACAGGTACCTGGCAGAGTTTGCCACCGGCAACCACAGAAAGGAGGCAGCGGAGAACAGCCTGGTGGCCTACAAGACGGCCACCGACCTCGCCATGCTGGAGCTCCCGCCCACGCACCCCATCCGCCTCGGCCTCGCCCTCAACTTCTCCGTCTTCTACTACGAGATCTTAAACTCCCCCGACCGCGCCTGCAGGTAACTGTTTCTGCAATACGCTTTCATTTACATAGCAGCTTCCAAATCTGATCCTTTTGAAAGGGATTTACATACATATATATTTATATTTCCACCTTCATTTAAAGATGCTGCTTTAAATATAACCATTGATTAACGTGTTAATATGTGTTTTCTCAGGTTGGCAAAGGCTGCGTTTGACGACGCCATCGCAGAACTGGACACACTGAATGAAGACAGCTACAAGGACTCCACACTCATCATGCAGTTGTTACGTGATAACCTGACACTATGGACTTCAGACATGCAGGGAGAAGGTAAGAGTCAGAATACTCATGTTTCTGTTCTCCACGGCTCGACGCTGATACACTGAATCACTCATCTCCTTCTTACCTTCCTAACAACCTTTTTACACACAGTTTCTAACGTGTCTTAAACTGAGAAGCTTGATTTGATGTTCTGGCAACACAAAAAGCTAGTTTAATATATTGTACTTCCATCTTTTACACGGAAAAGTCGTACGTTTAACTGGTGATTGTAGCTTCTGCACCACATTAAAGACTTTCCTTTAGTAATAAGTAACTAGAGTCCATCCACACTTCAGTGAAGTTTCATCTTAAAACGGTTGAAACGCTGTCGGGGTGACACAAGTCTGCGTCACTGTCGGCTAAATACGAAATCAAACTTGCCGTGTTCATCACCCAGTACGACTGGTTAACAGTCTCATGTAATTAGTTGTATTTAGGTGTGATATTGTTATTTACTCTGCTCTGTAGTTCTAGTTTCTAGAGCCGTAACGAAGAGTTAAAAGGCTTCGATCACTACGTTGACGTTCAGATTTTATATCAATATTCAGGTGTTAATTCATCCAAAATTCACAACATATTTATATCTAACAAAGTAGCTTTAATACGTATTTGTTGGCATTTAGCCTTTTAGAGACTTCAATGTTTTTTAGCTTGAAGTCAGTTTTTACTTGTCCCCCAAATACAAATAGTTTAATTTATTAGTGATTATCAAGTAACAACAAAGTCTGAAGTTAGTTTTCGTTGTTTATCTGCTCTGACGGGAGGACGCACTGATGAGTTCTATTCATTAGAGACAGTTCATTCATCGGATGAATCATTTTATATTGAGAGTATTTGTTTTGTGTGCGACGACGTCAGAATTCATTCAAAAACCTGAATGGAAGCTATGAATATTTATTAAATAGAGACATCCGGTACCAGTTACCATTACTCTGATTATAAGCCCAAGAGGTACCCACGGTGTCCTGCTTCTCCTGCTGACGTTCATAAGAACTCTTTAAAGAGAGAGAGTCTGGTTGTTGAAGGTCAGTCGGTCCAAAGTTAAGCCAGGATTTAAAAAGCCACACTTGACGTCAGCTGAAGTCTCCAGGACCCGGATCCTGGGAGTGGTTTAATAATTAAATGAGTCACCTGTTGTTGGGTTGGATTCTGTATTAACTTGTTGGTTACCGGCTGTGATCGTTGACCTTCCACCACAAACGGTTCAAACAGTGTTTCTGGAGATCAGCCGAGTTTGACTTCTGTTACCTCAGAGTGTGAGACACACGGAGGTTTAGATGTTAACGATCATTTAAACACACGAAGCCCGTGGTTGGGACAGTAGGGAGGACGTGTTGTGAGGGTTTATCAACATATTTTAGGAGATATTTGTGTGGCGTTGAATATCTGAAGAGCGCTGACGTTGATCTAGAGCTCTACCGAATAGTTGGAAACGTCTTTCATACCGTTGACATATCTGCTGTCATTTATTCTTTAAACAGTGTTTCTCCTGCTGGTGAAGCTGTAAATGAGTGACTTCTGTAAAGTTCTACTTTGACCTTTTAACGGCGGACGACTGTGAGTCTGGACCGACTGTAGTGAGGGCCCGTTGTGGCCTCCTCACTACAGTCTGCTGCCACCACAACCAGCCCTTAACTTCTACATAAATTACCTTTTTAATTTATTTATAAATGTCATTTCTATTTACTTTAACAGAAAAAGGTTAAGAAGTGTGTGCGCTCATTCGTAATAATATTAGTAATAATCCACACATTTCAAAGGTGGTTCTCATGCAAGTCGCGTTTTCACACAAATCTGTCCTGCAGGTATTTCAGAATAAAAGCCTTAAATGCCGTCATCCTGTCCACAGAAAAATAGCTAGAATTCCTTTTATTTTGAAATAAGAACAGGAAGTGCTTAAAGATATTTACTTTTGTTCATGTCAGTGACACATTCTCCAGATAAACACAGGAAATAAAGTTTTTCACACTCAGTTAAAGAGAGAAATGTCTTTGTGAGATTAGGGAATGTAAATAAAATGGTATATAAAGTGTACTAAGTACACATTAGTGTTTCAGTAATATTTACACCATCAGATCATCTCTCTGTATACATTTATAATACTTTCATGTCTGATCAGTTTAGGTATTAAAATACACTTGATTCTACTTTTGCACTTGTTCGCTAAGCACAGTTTTTAAAAGCAGGACTTTTAACTTGTAAAGGAGTATTTTTATACTATCTTATCGCTGCTTTTACTTCAATAAAAGGCTTTGAATACTTGTTTTCACCAGTATCCGTAAATAAGATCCTCTTACGGCAAAAGACGGGTCAGAAAATACAAAATAAAACGAAATCGATGACATGGAGCCCGATGCTAAGCTAACGAAGACAGGAAACCGTGTTGGTGAATAAGACACTTTACTTCTTCTTCTTGACCAGGTGAAGAACAAAACAAAGAGACGCTGCAGGACGTTGAGGACGAGGCCCAGTGAGACGACGACGACGCCACCAACAACAGCCAACAACTTGAGACCCCCCTCCACCCTTCCTCGCCTCCTCACACTCCTCCTCCCCTCCACCCTTCCTCACCATCCTCCTCTTCGTCCGCTCCCTCCTTTCCTTTTCCTTTCTTCCACCGCTGCAGCTCCGTGAAACCCAGCAGGGCCACAAGGAGCCAACACGTTTTGTTTTTCCTCTTCTTTTTTATTTTTATATATTAGCCCTTACATCATTCAAGTAAATAGCACTTAATTGAGACAGGAAATACAATGTCAGACAGTCAAAGATAAACAAGAGAGAGTCCCGGGTTGTTTTCGTGTTGTTTTGTTGTCCTGGTACAAGCGGTTCTGAAATCTTTTGTTTTCATTATTGTGTTTTTTTGTTGCTTTTTCTCCATATGTTTATCAGTTGCTGGATGTATTGAGAATCTTTTCTTAATGTAATTACAGAAATTAACTTTTATTACTGATAATGTTGACTATTAGTTATGGGAGCTGTTTTATCTGTTCTAGTGAAATGTCATGCGAATCATTTTATTGTTTTCTTTTTGGTTTTTTTGTGTTTTGGGGGGGGCCCATTTGGAAAACTACAAGTGCCCTTTTTTGTTAACTTAGGTTTTTCAGAGGAAGTTGGCAAAGTTCTCGATATCCAGGTGGAGCAAAGAAGTGCTTAACCTTTACACCATAGTGGTTCTGTTGTCATGTTTCTGTAGTTGTCCTTGGACTGTACGTTGTGCTGAAATACTGTAACTGTAAACACATGCTGAATCTATGAAGGTTGACTTATCCATAAATTGGTGGTTTTAATTAAATGAATAAAAAGACGAGTCTGTTTTGGCCCCGCCTCCTCGAACGGAGAACCCTAAAATTGACAGGAGTGTCAGTGCTTGCATGAGTTAACACATTTTCCTTCTTTATTTCTGCTGCTTCTCCCCTACTTTTCTAAAGCTCCTCCGAGTTCAAAGGGTTTCTTTCTTTCTCGTCTTTTGTTTCTTTTTGCTTCATTATGTGTAACTTGGAGCTGATTTGTACTACTGGATATCTGACTGGAGCCACAGACAGGGAATCTGTATTGTTCTTACTGAAACACAGCATGGAATTAACATTAAACAATCTAAATTAAACGTTACAAACTGAGTTGTTGTGTTTATTATATTGTTTGATGAAAGCTGCTACAAGCAACTTTAATTTTGTGTTTTCTGTCGCCCCCTGTGGACTAAAGTGGTAGTGTCTCTGAGCACCAGACTCCCTTTAGAAAACCTCATTTTACTGCAGCAGGGTCTGACAGTCGGACCCTCTCAGTCCTGGTTCTGGTTCTTCCGTGCCTCCCTTCCCTCCAGCGGGTCCAGCAATACGTCCTGGGTCTAACCCCTGGGGAATCATATTAGCCCTGGTTTCAGTGCCTGATCGCTACTGCAGACTATTAACATTCGTTTTATACATTCGTATCTTCATAACTGAAAAAGAAATGGTGTCAAATGGCTTCCCAAAACTAGTTGAACTGCAGCACAGTGTTGCCACACGGAGCAGATGTTGCTACTGGAATCCCAAGTTGGCGACAGTGTGCGTAATCATAAATTTATACGTCCTATTTTTAGTGTTTGAGAGACAAATGCAATCTTAATGCCAGTGGTTCTGCAGCGACTGCAAACAAATGTTTCTGTGTGGCTCAGACAAAGATGGCGTCACTGTATTTTGTTTTAATCATAGATTTAGTGAATAATTTGTGCCGTTATCTTGACAATTTTAGTTTCTTTTTCACTCATTTAACCTTTTTTGCCTCCCTGGTTTCAGTTGCTTGTAACCTCTGTAGCAGTTGCAACCTGTGCTACAGTTGCATCGCCATTAATAACAGCCCGGGCTCAGTGCCTATAGCCTAAATTTAGCCTCAGGTGAAAGTGGAGCAGTCTGATGGAAAGTGGCCACGTGCAACATCCAGCCAGTTAAAAATGACTTCCTTCCTGCAGTGGGAGGTGCTGCTGAGGGCGACACCGATCAAGACATACGATCAGAATCCCCCCCTCCCCTTCTGTAGCGCCACTGTCAGGTTAGACTTTCTCCTTGACCAAAACTTAGGTTCATGACAAGAAAAACACGTGGATTTCAGTTAGATTTAATATTCCTGCTCCCCAGAGGATGAAACGTATTGTTTTTTGTGCCCCGGTGACCTTTTTTTAAATAGCAAAACTATCAGGACAAAGATTGTTTTACAAGAAATGTCAAAAATCTTAGTGGCAGATTGTCTTGACACATTTTACTACCCACATTCATGTTCCCCAGAGGATGAGTGCTTTCTATTTCTCCATTTGTGAAGATGATCAAGGTCCCCAGCGTTTTGCAGTCCCCTGACCTGGACCACACCATGAAGTTGGCTTTTTTATATTTTGAGTGTCTGAATGTCTCAATGATTTGGTCCAGACATTTATGGTCCCCAGAGGATGTATCCTAATGACTGGTGATCCCCTAACTTTTCCTCTAGTGCCACCATGAAGTTGGCATTTCTGTTTTTTAGTGGAATGTCTCAATGACTTGCATGGATGTCCAGCTGAAAAATTACTACACACATGCATAGTCCCAAGAGGATGAGTGCTTTTCATTTCTCCATCTGTAGAGACATTTTAGGTCCCCAGAGTTTTGCAATCCTCTGACTTTTCCTCTAGCGCCTCCAGCACTCACCCAGTGAGATATTTCAACATCTACAGGACAAAGACGTTTATGGTTCCCAGAGGATTTATCCTAATGACTCTGGTAATCCCCTGACTTTTCATCTAAGGCCACTAGCACCCTCCCAGGGAAGTATCTCATCATCTAAAGGACACAATTGGCACAACATTTGGAATAGACGTTTGTGATTCCCAGAGGATGGATCATAATAACTTTTCCTCTAGCGCCACTATGAAGTTTTTATCTTTATTGGAATATTTGAATTTGTAATGCTTGGATTTCTGGCTAATTTGGCAACAAGGTTCATGGTTCCCAGAGGATGTACCCTAATGACTTTGGTGATCCCCTGATTCATTGTATTTTCCTGAAAGTAAAACGTGATTATAGTAATTTATATCATGCAGAAAGTGGCAGCAAAGTGTCATCCAAAGTCCGTCTCTCGAACCTTTTTAAAACCCCAAGACAATAGAACATCTTTACATATATTTCTGGTGCTCTTGGCAATATGTATATATATATATATATATATATATATATATATATATATATATATATATATATATATACATGGGGTATATTTGGTGGTAATTTAAAGAAAAACAACTTTACTTTTTTTAGGGCCACAATCTCAGAAATAGATTTATTAAAGCTGCTACCAGGAACTTTTATTTTGTGTTGGTTCTTTACAGCTTCTTCTACATCTACTGGTGCATTTTTACACCAGTATGATTTTTGCTCAGTCAGGTTTTTTGCTGCAGAATGTAAAACTGAGAAGACGTCACACAAACGGACGCCTCATGATGACACTGTGGGGAGATCGTTGAGTGGTTTCTCCTCGTTGTAACGTGAAACCTCAAGAGGGCAGCAAGTCCCAGCTAATCTGACATTACATAATGCCTAAAATAATTTCCACAGGGGGGGGGGGGCAACATAACTTAACATTCCGTTTATTATATATCTGAAGACCCTGTTCTCCAGAGTAGGTGTGGCCCTCTGGTCCTCTACATCTGCAGCCTCATCGGCGTCCTCGAGCTTCCTTAGGAAACTGGAAACTGCAGCGGTGCAGAGCGAGATTACTGCTCGCAGGGAACAAACGTCAATGAAATATATTATGGACTTCCTCCTCTGCTGCAGAGACAGCAGCTATAAATAGCCGGTCGGGGGGGGGGGATATTTTTAAGGCAACACTTGTGAGGTTTACTCAGCCCTGGTCTGATCTGGTCTGGGCCCTGAGCCTCTTCCATGAGGGATCTGGTTGCAGGACTATGCACCACAGAAATACACAGCAGGATGAACCTGTTGGTCGTGTGACTCAGATCATTCTGTATACGGACCTTGAAAACCTCATATCAGTGTGTGTGTGTGTGTGTGTGTGTGTGTGTGTGTGTGTGTGTGTGTGTGTGTGCGTGTGTGTGTGTGTGCGTGTGTGTGTGTGTGTGTGTGTGTGTGTGTGTTGGCAGTCTCTGGCAGTAGCTGACTCTGTCGTCTCATCGTGACTCATCTTCAGCGTGTTGAAGCAAAGGAAACACATGGTGACACACACACACAGACACACACACACACACACACACACAGACACACACACACACACAGATATTTCAGGTAGCTGATATTCATCTCTGATTATCTAAATACAAATTTAGTTTTTGTTTGTGATCCGTGTGTCCTTTCATTTCACTTTCATTTCACATGAAGTAACAATAGAGCGTTTATCTTGGAAGTCAGTCACTTCCAAACTGTGTTCTTATTTTAGAATAAAACCTGGGCAGAGCCAAGGAGTGTGTGTGTGTCTGTGTGTGTGTGTCTCTGTGTGTGTGTGTGTGTGTGTGTGTGTGTCAAGGCCACAGATTTCCTGTTGATGCCAGGCTGTCAGGAATGCCTCCAGCTGGGGTCAGAGGTCAAAGGATGTGTGTCACTGTCACTTCCCCCCCCCCCCTCTCAGCAGCAGCCTGTGATGCCCCCCTTCCACACACACACACACACACACACACACACACACATACAAATACTGTACTCCACACAAACACTAAAAGATAGATACCCAATAATTCATGGAGAATAAAGTGCATTTGAGAACAATTTTCTTTTGCAAAGAGAAAACAGTTGTTAATGCTTTCCTGTCCTGGTAATCATCTGGCTGACTTTATGTCGAGCTCCTTTACTGCGACGTCAGGCCACATTTGTACAGCCCCCCAAAAAAACTTGATTATAATGCCCATAAGTTACTGTACGTGTCCGTCAGTGCTTACAGCGAGCAAACAGGAATGCAGAGGAGGGAGGTCATCCACATGATGTGTTTATCTACGAGAGTGGAGCTGTTTAGATTTCTATGTCACAAATTCTCCCCCCCCCACCCCTCTATCAATATGATGTGTGTTTGAATCCCTGTGTGTGTGTCTGTGTTCAGTGTCAATGAGGCCCTGGTCTCGTCGAGTCCTTGGGGACAGTATGTGCACGAGAGCGCAAGTTCCTTTTTTTGTTTTTTAGAAAGTGTGTGCAAACGCGTGGCTCTTGCTTGTTTATCCTCAGGGAAGCGCCGGTGGGTTCCGTCATGCACACTCACAGACACACACACACTAACACACACACTCTCAATCTACTGGGCGGGTACTGGGAATGTCTGAAGCAGGATGCTAGGGTCTGGGAGGAAACCCTGTTCAGACCAGCCCTAGTGTGTGTGTGTGTGTGTGTGTGTGTGTGTGTGTGTGTGTGTGTGTG